TTTTTTTTAATGAATGACTTTAATATTAATGGGGTATCACAGTTGCTGGAGATAAAAATTTCTGGCAATTGAATAATATACAGAATTTCCAAATATTCTTAGCAAATCTTAACATTAACTTTACCTTCATTAATATTATAAAGAACTCAGAGTAACTACCCGACTGAGAAAACAAACAGTCCTCACTTTTGCAGCTGTGTAAAAGTCAACACCCCTGCACTTAAATGGTCTTAAGAATGTTGTTTCAGGAGTGAAGATGCTTTTGCTGATGCAAATCCCAGCACAAACACACCACATACAACCTTTTGGGGGGGTAAAATCAGCCGTGAAAACCTGGATTAGATCTAATTTTAATGTTAATGCACCCCACACATGCTCTTTAAAGAAAGTCTTACACTGTTTTAATTTTTTTTTCATCCTTTAATTGTTTTGTATTATCTCTGAATTCAGTGTGACTGAAGTTGCTTGCAGTTGACTTGGAGTGATGCTGTAATATTGAAAAAGCTTTAACAGATGGTAGTTATTTATTTGTTGAGCTGGAGGACAATGCTGGGAGCAAGTCCAGCAGTGAAAAGTGAATACTTGCATCTGTTAGTTCCTGTTTTCTACCCTAGTTATTACAGATGAATGCATTAAAACTGACGAAAGAAGGAAAGATGAAGACATAATTTGAATAGCATGCTGTCCAAATAATGTGTTTTAAGTAAGAGCCTACGGTTTCTAAAAAGAGCTCCCAAGGACATGGCAACCCCCCCCCAGCTAACATCTATCAATAATGGCTTCTTGGCTGCATAGCCCTACTGTGATGGGACTGGCTGTGTGTTTATATGGGGCAGAATCAGCTACCTCTTACAGCATCACCGAAGGGAGGCGATGCTATAACACAGCCCAGCAAAATTGGTCTTCCTGCACTAACTCAGTGAGCCAAGTTGACAAATACCAGCAGAACCCTGAAAAGTGGGGGGAAGGTCTGGAGAAGATAAATCGTGGGCTGATTTGAAATGGTTTTGGTTTTAAAGTTTGGCCAGTGTCCCTGCCATAAAACCATAAAATAGAGGGGGATTTCCATCATCACACCATCAGTTTACTCATGCTTCAATTTTAAGCTGTAAAATACACCACTTGAAGACATTTTTGTCAAGCATGTTGGCAATAAATGGGGGAACTATAAATCTTTCAGCATTTACACAGTGTTCAATGTATCAGCAGAGGGACATATCCTGTGTGTGTGTGTGTGTGTGCTTTTGTACTCAGCCCATTATGGGGCCTGAAGTCTGTTAACACACTCACACTGTGGGGACTCAGCCATCATTGTGGGGACCAAAGGCTAGTCCCCACAAGGAAATCACAGAATTTTAGGGTGGCAACCTGGTTTAAGGTTAGGGTGAGGTAAGGGTTAGGTTAAGTGTTAGGCAAGTAGTGGTTATGGTTAAGGTTATGATAAGTCTACAGGAAAAGAATGTGAGTCAATGTAAAGTCCCCGCAAGGGATGAAAACACTGTGTGTGTGTCTACGTGTGTGTCGAGGGGGTGGATGTTACTGACTGACATGGCAGTATGGACAGAGGCCAGTTTTTCTGAATAAGAGCTTCATTTTCAGGCTTAGAAGGACCACACGGAGCTGTATACTCTCCAGATTTCACCCGTTATCATTTGTTGTCAGAGCTGGTGATAAATTAAGCAAGTGTTCCCTTCGCAGGACAGAGCCAGGCCTGTTGGAGCTACTCCAAGTGTCATTTTCTGCTATGAACATTCTGCTGTAATGTGATAATATCTGATGCTGAGGCTGAAAAAGAAGCAAAAGCAACCTCACCTTTCCAGCTGTTCTCCTTAACGATGGTGAACAGAGGTCAGCTAGCAGTGCTTACCAGTCTGCTGCTGAAAAGAAGGTGGGTGATGATTTATTTAAAGGAGAACTAGGCTCAGATAGGCAAAGGGACCCTGAGACTCTGTAAACAGTGTCTGTTTTCACAAGCTCTTTACACCTGGCTGTTACTTTCACAAGCTTTCGTTAAACATGTAATGGACAACTGGCAATGGAGAGAAAACTATTTGTTTTCCCTTTCCTCACCCCTCTGCTCCATGTGATCTATGCTGTGACATTGAAATGCAGTAGGTTTGAATTAAATGCTGCAGGATGGTGCCTTGCAGGTCCAAGTTTATTTGAAAAGTACACTCAGCTGTTTGGCATGAAGCAACCATTTGCAGCGTTGGGAAAAAAATGGAAAAATCATGTTGGTAAAATATTTGCAGATATGCCTCTAGACTGAATTACTTTTTGGCAAAAGCATATTTTGGCTCTTTGTCTTTAGTCGGGTTTTGTCTTCAGAGCTTATTACCTTTTTTGGAATCTCAGAGCATTCCTTTAAGCTTGGATAAAATATCACTAACATTTGTTCCTTCCACATTTCTAAAACCTTATTTGTTTATTTGTTTCGTTGTATTTAAGGGTATATACATTGCCGTTAAGCTTTATGGAAAGATCCATTTTGGAAACCATCTGAATGTAAGAGAAAGTGAGGAACAGTGTTTGCTGCAGCTCCTACTGTAGTTACAGCTGGCTGTAGACATTCCTCCCTGAAGTCGGGTCATCAGAGTGTATGAACCCCAAGAGACCAGGAGACTGACACCAAACACTAGATAGAATCTCTGCATGCACAGAGATGAGGTGTATAAAGAAACTTGCAGGATAAATCATTTAGAATTGCAATTTAAGGTCAAGGTTGCGATTTTTCAAGAAATTAGTTGAACTACCTTTCAATGTGAACAATTTTAATGAAAAGCCATGTGAATGATTCATTGTTGATATCTAAAGCCCCTTTCAGACATGCATGTCTTTCATGTCTAAAGGTTGTGTCTAATTAAACCCCTGTGTCACATAGCCAGCAAAGTGTTATGGGCAATTTTACCTGGTTGGACCTAGTCAAATAGCTGGCTACTTTCCCACTGGCTGCATGTTTGAAGTGAGCCGGTCAAATTGCCAGCAAGGGCCATGGATGTATTGTGAAAGCTGAATTACAAGATGGCACCCATTCTGTCCACTGAAAGTCTTGTCTCCTCCATGTTGTGCAGCCCACTGCTTACACACATTTTTGTTTTTGTTTTCCCTTCTCTGCCCCCAACCCACACTCTTCTGCTTGGCCTATAGACTTTACATTGGACTGACATCACAAAATAGAACATTCTAGGCTCTGGGAAAGGTTCACAAACATAAAACATCTATGGAGTAAAAATTCATAATAGACAGAGTGAAAATCGGTCCAGTTTGCAGTTTGAGATGTCCTGTCAACAGTTTTATAGATGTCTCTTTTGTCATTGTGGTCTATGGAGAAAATGCTTTTTTTGCGCCCCAGTGTGATTTTCAATGCAATGAGTGGCCAAATTGGCTGAAGGGTGGAGTAGCAGCACCACATACAGCTTTCATAATACATCAGTGGTAAAGACAAGCTCAAGATTACATAAGACGTATTTGTGCACAATGTTTAAACTAGTCACCTTCAAGTAGGATGTGTAAATTGCATGCTGGTACAGAGTTTATGATGAACCGGTACAGGAATGATAGGGTTTAGTAGCCCGAGCTAACATCGAAAATTTCCAACCACATGTAGTTCATCCTCACTGTCAAGTGCCATGTTGGTATGGACAACCTTTTGCCTCATATTTTATCCATGACTTCAGGCCTTGCTTTGCGTCTGTCCTGTGAACGTTGTGGCTGTACCCGACCAGGTCCTGCTACTGTATGTTTGAACAAAGCCTTGCCAGGAATTTTGCACACAGCAGCTATATGTCTAAACACCCAGAAAGCAACTGCTACATGGCTACGTGGAACCTACAAATTCACGGGTGCCCAGTCTGAAAGTAGCCTATATTTTTGCCTCTTTTCCAGTGCTTCCCAAACCATGTTCTTTCTGTTTTTTTGCACAGGGTACTCTACCATCTGCCCTGCATGTGACAATGAAATGAAAACAGACACTATGCTGGAGCACATGTGTGCCAGCGAGTTCGGTAAGCATCCTCCTAGCACTCACCATGGCAACACACACACACACACACACACACACACACACACACACACACACACACAACACGCAAAACTGTGCACACACCCCACTGTGATACATCTTGACATGTATCATAGCACTCCATCAACTGTATCTTTCATCTTGAAACTTTGAAACATTCCATGAATTCTTAAAGTATGTAAAGCTGTGGTTTTCCTGAAGTGCACCCTGTACCTGACCATACTTTGTCCATATTTGGCAATCTTTGTGGTGTCATTTCAGCTCAGTTACTTTGTGAGGTTTTATCTCTTGGTCAGATGTACCAGGCCTTTCTGGATTTAGAGCATAATGTTCTGTGACTAATGAACTGGGAGCATTTAAGTGTTTATGTGGCAGTAGGAAATTGGGATACTTGTTCTGCTGTCTGTGAACTTTTTTATACAAAATATCTTGTGCACGTGGGGAGAAATCCACATTAAACATCTAACTAAATGAAGTAGTTAATGATAAACAATGTTTTTTGTAAATTGATAAGACTTTGCAGAATAGTATGTGTATGATAGATGCAAGATGAAAGATGTCAGGCTTTCATGTTTCATTCGCTGGCTGGAATGAAACTTGTGGCAGCTTAAATTCCAAAGGCCACACTGAGCAAACATAGACTGGATGCACATTGGAAACAGACTTTCTTCCAGCTCTCAGGAAAAGTTTAAAGTTACATTGGTTTAACGAATTGCCTTGTTGTTTATGCTCGGGTTTTGGAACTGGCTGTTTTCAGTCTGCTTCCTGGTTTGCCAAGAGGAGAATGGCACATCACTGGTTTGTTTCATCTTAGATGAAGACAGATGTTGTTTTGCTTGCTTGTCATAAGTCCCCCAACCAGCTGACATGTGAGGATACACAGTCAGATTTAGTATCTGAGGATGAGATACTGCTGCTTATGTTTCAGATCTGTACCCACAAAGGGCTGACCTCCACTGGAATGCAACAACCGTTGCTGTGATTTTCAGTATGAGTTGATTGCAGCTGGTAAACAACTAATGTGCAGCCTGACAAGAGATACCATCAGTGGTTGTATCACCAGCTAGGCTAAAGTTTTGTTTGATATTTTTTCCAGACAAGTTTTGGTCTGAGGAGAAAGCTGCAATTACCAGTCTATCTGGCAGCAGCTGAAGTTGACATGAGTTAATGTCTTGTGTTGAGCAAGAAGAAAATATGCAGATGGAGAAATCCCAAACTTTAATCATGATGTGTTTTATCCCACTAGCAAAAGATAAGACCATCATCCCGATTACATTCTGCCAGTTACAACTTGACTGAAAGTGGATGACACATGTTTTCGTAACCCATGTTTAAAATCCAAGTTGCAGACAAGCCTGTCTGGCTGGTTTGGAGACAGACCACAGAACTAGATATGATAGATAGAGTGCTTCCTCTTCTCTATGAAGCAGGATGTTGGAACACCATAGGGACAGCTTGAGGAATGAATCACTGACTTGCACTGAAACCTTTATTCATCTGTTCGGATCAATCATTAGTAAAATATTCACACCCTGGCAGTGAATTAGCATTTTTGTCCACTGAAAACCCTCACTTACTGGAAGTTGCTAAGAAAGGTGTGTTTAGGTATGTTTTTAATACTAATGCTGTTTTGATCATTTGACGCTGCGCATAACTGCTTCCCATCAGTTGCACAAGTGCATTTGACTTGTCTGTGCAGTTTAACCTTGATGAAAGCAGAGAAAGATGCAGCAAGACATCTTATGCCCTACGGTGGCTGGGTGTGGAGATTGCTGTAAATTAGATGTTTTTACAATACACTTTATCAGAGTTATAGAAACAAGTAAATGTTGATAGTACAGCACTTTTAGTTCCCCTAGAGTGGACTGACACTCTATGAGGTCTCAGAAATCCTAACAGTCACATACATACACATCCTCATTCTATTTGTAGCACTCAGCTGGTAACAGATTTATGACATATCCCACTCAACACTTGGTTCCCACCACAATTTATCTCTGTGCTTAAGGTTTTATGGTACCTCATTGTCCCAGAAAACCCAGCACCCTTCAATTAGATCTCTCCTCGGCCTGGACAGCTCACTTTGTTATTGGTGCCAACTTGCTCCAAGTCTTTGCTAATGCAACAAACCACAGGGCAGCCCTGTGCTGGAGGACTGATCACTTCAGCTTATCAGTATTTCCATTATTGTGAACAGAGAGTGGTGCACACCCCCCTGTTGGGTTTATGACACCCAGGGAGCGGGAGGTCCTGTCTGTTCCTCTGACATAGGGACAGGAAATTAGGTCAGGAGCTGGAATAGAAAAGGGAATTCCCAGAAAAATATCAGATTTTAATTCTCTTAGATTAATTAATGAAAAATGTCAGGTTAACTTTGCACAATACCTAAATCTAGTTTCCATTACTTTAAAAGTAAAAGAAAAAGGTATCCTAATGATGTACTTATAAATAAGAGTCTAAAATAAAATGACACTGAACTCTTAACTTTTCTATAGTTACAAGTAGAGTTTTGTTAATGATTCCAATTTTGATTGATGTCTGACATTGTGACCCTTAATTATCAATTGATATGATGACCAGTTGACCAGTTTAATCAAATAATGATTTTTAGAGGCCTGGAGAGATAAAATGATGCAATAATTCACAGGCAAAGACTAGAAAGTAGTCTGAAAAATGTCTTGTTCAGCAAAAATGATTTTTTGGGGGGGGATTTTTGTTTAGTTAATCACCTTATCCAATAGGGATGTCATGGCCCCTACTCATAAATAACATGGATCTCAACAATTTAAGTAATTTATGTGCAGTAGTTCAAAAAGAATTCAGATCATTTAGTAAAAATAAAGAAAACCCACACTATAAAGTACTGCATTCAAAAATAGAGAAGTATTATCAGCAAAATGTAATTAAAATATCAAAAGTCAAAGTACTGATTATGTAGAACGGTTCTTTTCAGATTGTTATAGCAGTAACAAGATGATTGTGAGAATCAAAAAGAAAGAATTGTGAAAGAACTGTTGCACCAAAATGTGTGAAGCGTGACAAGTACATATGTCTTAATTTTGAGGGTTCATAGGCCAAAGTTTGAAAATCATTGGTTTAATAATATGATCTTGAAACTATATTTTGTCATTACTATGACAATTCAAATTTGGCAAAGTAACTATTATGCATTGGCAGTCAGATAAATATAGTGATGTGAAAAAGTAGTGTTGGGGTGTGGAATTAGAAAGTAGCAGACGATAGATAAGTAAAGTGATTCAGATTGTACTTGGCCACATGTGTACTAAAACTTTGTTACTTTTCATTGTTGTTTATATGTGATGTTTATTCCATGGTAGGATACTGACTGATACAGTATGGGAGAATGTGTTTAGCTTTAGCTACTGTGGGATGTTTGGGTTCCTGGCTGGTTCAGTCAAATACAGTCCATGTTTGATGCATCCGCTGAAGACCACCTGCTACATACATTTTTAGGCTGAACTTTAGGTGTCTTCCTGCCCTACTGCATGTTACAGTGATGAATGGATGCTTTTAAAATCTTTAAAAAATAGCATAGGAAAACATGAGCAATAACATTTTCACTAGCCAGAAGTATAGAAAATGGTTTAGTTATTTGAGGTTAACTTCTAACTGTATCCTGTTCCTGAGGAGATTAAACCCTCAAACAACATGAGTTCATAGCGTCAAGGGATTATCAAGGACAGGGGATTTATGAAGCTGAAGTCCTTTCACGGGTGGGCCAGGCCTTCTCCTTTATGACTCACTAATTATGAATGCTGCCCATTTTGTTTTCACTGAACATTAAGCCTCCTCACAGAGTAAGAGACTGGAGGATAAGTCTTAATCCCTACCATGTGCACTCTTAATACCGGGAAAACAGGGCGGCTCTTTTTTTTAACACTTTAATTATCAATGGGAGATACAACAGCAATGGAAGAAATGAAAACGCTGGAAGTTTCTTAAACAAGGAATTTGTGTTTTTATGTCAAGAGATACTGCAAAAAGAGATTTGGTATCTAAAACTGAAGACAATTAAAGAGAAGTTTGTTTTATTAGTCCAGTTTTTTGCTGGAGTATGAAAATGATTCAGGCTGAATAAGGCTGTTCTCTGCACTTTAGGTCACAAGACTGTATCTCCAACATGGCTCTGTGATTTATCTTGACACCATCTCTGTCAATTAGATTGGACATAACATGCAACGCTTTTTTATTTAGTCTTGTGCTGCAGTATCACAAGGTTGTCTGTCGCACACACACATCACTACATATCAATGGAAAATGAGAAAATGTAATGAGGGAGGCATATGGAGATTTGGACCACCAAAGTCTGGCTCATGCTGCTTTTCAGAAGGAAAACTAACAGAAACAGAGAGATTAGACAGTTAAATAGTGTTTAGTGAAAGATCAGGAGTATTATGGTCAGTATGAAAAACACCCTGAGCCTCAGTAATCAGGGCGGTCAGGAGTTTCTGGAAATTCCCTATATAAAGCTTTAACAAGACTGAACAGTTTCTAAACAGATTACCTTGTATTATTTTTTTATTTTCATGCTCATATGTATATCAGTATTATTGTACATGCTGACCTCTAAGCGTTAAGAAATTGCTATATAGAAATGCCAAAAATCAGATGGCAGATGTCAGAAGTATGTTTTTTACCTGTAAAATGTCCTGCTCTGTACATACCTTGGCCACATTTCTTAAATTAAAAATTAAAAGCTCAGCATTTATGAATGAAATGAATGTTGGCCTAGACATCATCATCAACTACTGAAAGTCAGAAATACTTATATCAGTAATAAGAGAGTTATTCTGGATTTCTATATGTGATGAAATACTTTTTCCCTGTTTCTACTTTTCTAGATTTACCAAGACCACACATACATTATGGTTATTTTATGTAATAAAAAATTCCCAATAGATTTGGGAAAATGTACTGCATTGCAAAGAACCCGACTGACACTAGATTTTAAGACCAATGCCAATGTTGAAGTTTGAGTTTAAAACGTCTGCTAATAATATACTGGCCAATTGCAAGTTTTTCACATGAGCTAGTAATCTTGATCCTGATCCCATAAAATTGTTTTTTACAGCACTATGGCCAAAATACAAAGCAGGATACATACTGTGTAAAGATTAGCCTGTCAGTGTTCTTTGGTGGATGAACTATATGATGATGACAGAGCCATCAATTAATTCAAACCTACTTTGACAATTCTGTAATTTAACATTTTTTGTTGGCTGACAAGCAATACATCATCAGTTTATGACCTGGATGATTTATCAGTCTGGATCTATATCACACTATGCTTTATACCAGCATATAGCATTTTATCACTGTCACAGAATCCTATTAGAATGAGACAGTGAGACTTGCAGTCACCTTTTTTTAGGGAAAGAATATATCAGAAAATCACCTTGTTCTATAAATGGTCCCCTTTAGAGTCCCATAAGCCTACTTGCTCTTAAAGAAATAGTGCTGACTGGACTGTGCACATCTGGCATTTTTTGTACTCATAAAACATGAACTAGCAGTCTTTAGAGGTAACAGTGTGCTTAGAGCAAACATTTTGCACAGTACGTTAACCACCTTCAAACATGACTACCTCATGCTAACTGTTATTTCTATTTTCCACCGGCAGCTTTCAAGACCAAGATCAAGGAGGTGACGCAAGAAAACACAGACCACAAGGTGGTCCTGCAGAAAAGGAAGAAGATGATCAAAGCGGGAAACCTGAAGAAGAAGGACATGAAGAAGATGGTGTTGTACTTGAAGAATGGTGCAGGCTGCACCTGTCAGCAGCTAGAAAACCTGGGAAACCATTATCTAATCCTGGGCCGCAAGGTGGATAAGAAGTACCTCCTCACGGGCATTCACAAGTGGGACAAGTCCAGCACAGAGTTCAAAACGGCCATCAGGAAACTCAAGACCCATAAATGTCCTGCCTACGAGAATGTCTTCAAATAATATGGCCTTGACTGCATTTTTGGTTGCATCTCTTACTACATACTAATTTACACGTGTTAAAATTCCAAACGTTGCTTTCTATTGTCCTGTTTATATATCTATATACCTTTGTATATATACAGACATCCTTTGAAATGTCTATTATTAATTTTAGCTGAATGTTTTGAGTGCTGAAACAACAAATAATAAAAGGGTTCAATAGTGAAAAGCCCTTCCTCACTGAACTCATTTTTGCTGTATGTTTGTAGATACTTTGTTGCATTCTTTTATCCAGGTCAGTGAATTTCCCTTAAAGGACATTATTGGCTTTATTGCTCAAGGGTTAAATGAGAAGACTGATACCACTCTCATGTCTGTGAATATGACACTAGAGCTAGCAAATGGTTAGCTTATGTTAGCATGAATACCAGAGGAAGGGGCAGCAGCACATCTGTGTTCAAAGTGACAAACCATAAAAGGTTTGTTTTTACACTTTGTTTTTGTACATATTAAAAGAATGAAATATACAATTTTTGTGAGCTTTAGATGTGCCAGTAGACCTTTTTTTGTAACAGAGCTACGGTAGCTTCTTTATGCTAACATAAGATAATAATCCGCCAACACTGCTGACACTCGAGTTTAGCATTACAAATACAGGTATGAGAGCACTATTGGTCTTCTTGCCATGAAAAATGTTCAACTATCCCTTTAAATCTCTCTCATTATGATCATGTAATACCAAATCATAGAATCAGTGATCAAGTTGCAGAATTGATTATTTTGAACTTTAAAAGCCACACTGTACGGAGCAGCTCCAGGTAGGGTACCTGTTGAATAAGTTATTGATAGAAGTGCAAGTGAGTTTTTCTATCTAACAGAAGACTGCAATACCAACAGCTATGATCATTTCCATTTTATTTGTTCACTTAATAAGTTTAGTTTTGTTACTTGAAAAATCATAAGAAGATCATACCCACTGATCTGCATGACAAGCTCATGCTTGTCATTTCTGTGTGGACCTAAATATTTTTTCACATTTCTTTCTCTTTGCATCCAGTCTCATGGCAGTAATCAGTATTCGTTGGTTATGGAAAACACCTTGTATTCATACATGTTTAAAAGTGCAAAAGGTATCAAAGTGCAAATATTGGCAACTCTGTGTCAATTAGTTTTGCTTCAGTGTCGCTGGTCTATTTCCGCACTGTTTCATATTTGAATGTGAGCATTGCATTGTTGCCAGTCACATGTACATACAAATTTTACATAAATATGGAAAAAATCTAACTGTGTCTTTTATATTATTTACTTCTTTTTTATGATTTACACAAATCCGGCACTATATCAACAACTATGGGGTGGATTGCCAAGAAATTGGATACAGACGTACTGTATAGATCCTAGATGGTGTAATTGTAATGACTCTGGTGATCCCAATGCATATGATGAAATGCCACTATACTGCTAAATAATACATTATAAACTAATTACATTCTGATCATCTTCAGCAGTACTTGCTGTTTGTTCTGTGACAAGCAGTGTTGCCAATTTAGCAACTTTCTCACTAGATTTGGTAACTTTAAGGACCACTTTAACCATTTTCTTTAGAAGCTCCTACTGACAAATCTGCGACTTTTTGGGCCCACCTTAACTCCTCTATAGTATATTGCCAATATTTCTTTGTGAATGTGTCCTCAACTTGCTGTTCACTGAGTAGAAGCCAGCAGCAGCAAAACAGAATGATGAATGAGGTAATGATCACCCCCACTGTCTGTCCAGGTAGCTCAAACGACTCAGCTCAAATACTGACATTTTCAAGAGTGATGGCATCCTAGTGCCTTGATCTTCTCTATTCATAATACTTAAGTACCATATTCAGCAGTCTATTGTAGAGTTAGATGTATAGTGATAATATAGTGGCCTGAACGATAAAGCTAGTTAGAGTCAGTTAAGTTTAGCTTGCCACATTTTAGAACTTTTCTTTGGGACCAAAAGGCAAAACCACAAGCAAAACATTGTTGGTGAAGTGAGAACAGGGCTTTAATAGTGACTTGACAGGGCAGGTAAACTAGCAGACACAGGTGAGTGACTTGTAGCTAAGAATAACAACACTGTCAGAGGAAAGAATGACAGAGTGATACTTAGGGCACAGGGAAGAACTGTTTCCAGGAGGGTCTGTGTAAGCAGGCAGCTCAGAGGATACAGGTAAGCACACTCAGGTGTGTAATCAGTGTCACATAAGCAGCATATGCAAGTCACAAACAGGTCATTAAGGAGACCAGGGTTAATTGAAGTCAAGAGAGGAAACAGATGCAAGCAGGCAGGCAAAGAGTTCAGACATGGAGCCAACAAATCACCAGATCTAGAAAATAAACAAGTGTCCATTCACAGATGAGACGCCTGTTCAAACAAGGGGGAATGTAACTGACAAGATCCTGAGAGAAACAAGTATCCATACACAGGAGAAACAAAAGATAGATTATGGAACATAAAAACAATTGACACATTTATCTCCACAATTAACTGCCTTTTAAAGCCAAAGCCATAGAGCCCCCTGATTGGTTATCTGCAATGTGAGCTGTTACTCCTATTTTAAAGGCCCTTCACTGAGTTTATATTTATTTTAGAACTTATTTTAAGCTTCTCCTTTTAGTTATTAAGTCAATTAATAGATTGTCACTAGATTACATTTTTGATATGCTGGTTAGTACTGCTCCTTCAGACTCTGGCCTCCTGGTAATTCTCCAGACCAGAACTAAAACACACAGTGATTCTGCTTTTTTTGTCATAAGCTTCAGACTGGCTTCAGACACAGCACATAATTTGAAAGTGAACCTTTAAAGTCTTTTTAAAGGCTTGCTTATAGCCTGAATTGCTGCACAATCTTTTTAAATACTTTTATTTGATGTTTTATATTTCTCTTGGAATTTCTTTTTGTACAACACTTTGAGCTGCACTTATGGTATGTAAATAAAGTTAGTACTATTATATCATTAATCAAACAGGGGAAGGCAAAGGCAAAGTCAAAGTCCAACAGGAGATAAAGGAATACAGAGATGAACACGGGTAAGCCACTAGAAAAGTGTCTAAATGAAAAACCTGGCAGAAAATTAACGCTGGCATCTGAGTCATATACTGACTGGATGAGTACACAGATACTGTAGGAAGCAGGGGAGTGCATCTAAAAAAAACACGTAAAAGCTCCTAATTTGCATTGCACTAAGGTAAAGTGAGCTGTGAAATCATCTGCATCTATTTTATGTTTACCTAAGAGACTGAACTATTTTAGGTACTTGTAAACATTTGGCATCATTAACAGCAAAAATCATGGAACCTCTTTTCTTCCTGTAAACCATCATTTATGTATTGTGCAATGCCAGGTTCTGCTCTGACAGTCATGTCAAACAAAGAGCTTTTTTTTTTTGGGCTATGCCACCCTCACATTTTTATGCTTTCAGAAAGATAAAGCATCACTTTGCCAGATCTCCACACCAAGGGATGTCTCACATGCTTTTTTATTCTCCCTGTCACTGTGGTGATGCTAAATTCTTGCATGTGTGTGTGTGTGTGTGTGTGTTCAGATTCAGGTTTGTTGTGGTTTCACAGCCTGTTGGTGCCTCAGTATGTGAAGTGTAGATACTAATCCTGAGATTCACATCATTAACAACTCATGCCGATAGTGAATGCTTTCTTAAGCAAAGACCAGCACTGTCTATTGAAACGCCAAATTTAACAGAGTTGTTTTCACAGAGTCTGTGCTTTATGGGTTTGTTTTCCATGCTGATCAAGCATAACTTTCCCTGTTTCATTTGACTCATGAACAGTAACAAGCAAATGTACACTGAATCTAAGGACGTAAGAAGCAGAGGCCTTGTTGGCCATCTTGTATTTTCTCTGCACAAGAACCATAGATCTGAGTATCTCAGTAATGAAGGTTTTAATGTAAATACTTTAATGAGCTGAAATCCATTGTGTCACTACAACAAACATAAACAGCAAAACAAAACCACCGTGTCAATAAAAAGCCTTGTTAAAAACCAGGAAGTATCAAAGAGACCAATGTCTTGCCCATCTGGTTCTGGTAATGGCTTTGGTATTTGAAAATATATCTCAGATGATTGGACTTTCCGTTCTAATCATTTTACTTCAGCTGTCTTCAAAGGGCCTCAGAAAACACAGGGCCAAGATCCAGCTTTGTCCTGTTAAAAGATGATCTGCAAAAAACATCAACCTCAGTGCGTGAGTGATAGGTTAAAAGATGATCTGCAAAAAACATCATGCTGGATTTTCTGTGTCGCTGAAAACCTCAAATTGACAAAGTTAATGAAGTACATTTTTACTGGTTCCACATCAAAGGCTAGTAGTCAGTTATCCCTCAAATATTAATACCACACACTGGGTTTCAGTCTATGTGATAAAACAATACTAAACTGACCAATGCATTCTGACAGGATAGAGTCCTCACATACGCATGCAGTGGAAAGCAGTGCTTCTGTCCAACCAAATGCATGGCCTGATGAAAACCTATACATGTCTTTTCCATTTTTGTCTCTCATCAAGATGGAAACCAAAACAGAGGTATAAAAGGAGTGAATACTGGAATATCACTTGGACAAAAACATGACTCCAAATGAGCATTAATATTGCTCTGTCTGCTGAATGTGCAAATATGCAAACGTTTGCTAGCTCATTTATTATTTAAGGTTATTATAGCTTTGTGTCTGAAGCTTATTGACCTCAAATAGCCAAAAGGTCAGTTGATACAGGTTAAATTTTATTATCAAACCCCAGTTTTTATGCTATTTAAAATGTTTATGACTGACATTTATCATTTATTCTTTAGCAGAGCAGAGCTCCATGTCATGATTCTGTCTCTTTTGCTTCCCGTAACATTCAAAGTCAAAGTCAAAGTGTTTATTTGTCATATGCACAGTTAGGAAACATGTTTCCCTGTACAATGAAATTTTTACTTTGCTGCCCACATGAATGCCACAAAATACAAATGAAATATAAAGTAGATAGATAAGCAACACTAAATCTAAGGCACTTTAAGCAGGTAACATACTTTTATTCTGACACCACCTTCTGTTTAAGGTCTCATTTCAGCTACGGACTATTTACACTAATCAGTGGTAATTATTTGCACCTGTCAACACCCCTTTATAGGCAGTATCCTCCCACCAGCAAGCTGCCAGATTGTTCTAACTCATGTTTAGACTTTTCAGCGTTTTTCTTGTACCTGTTATTCCAGCTCTGACCCTGGACTGCCTTGTGACCACTTATTCCTGCCTAACCCTTCTGATTCTGTTTGTATTCTGTGCATTGACTTATGGACTTCCCTTAGTGACTATTCTTCTTGTGGATACTTTGGATGTGTGAGTTTGCTGGTTCTGACCCTGGACTGGAATTATGGACCTGAGAGTGATTCATGTTTTGAGACTGTGCTTTAGTCGCACTTCCTGTTTGGAAACCTCTGGTTTCAAAGACACCCTGTTGTATCAGACTCCTGCTCTGTGTACAGATTTATTGAGACCAGAGCTCTTATTAAAGAGACAGTGTTCTGCTTTTACTCATCTGGCCTTATAATTGAGTTATTATTATTATCGGCAGCTTTGCAGGCCGTCCCTGACACTCCACTGTTGCCTAAGAGCTACTAAAAACACATTAGCAAGGGATTCTTTTGTACTAGGTGACATGTTTTTATTACAACAAATACATCTTCTTTTTGAATAAACATATATTGTCAAGTTGCTCGAAATAGCTGTGGAAATAATGTGCCAGAGTGTTTATTAATCCACAGCTGCAAATACCACCCAGCAAATACACTATTTTCTGCATTTCAAAGGCACATCTGGGGAACTTTTGCACACACCTATTTAACAAAGTGTGATTCTCTGATGTCGTTGATAATGTTCTTCCTGATGTGTGATAAAAGTTTATTTCTGCTTCTAATGCTATTATAATCTGCTGGAAAAAAACATCACAGTGAGCTTAAAATAAAGTGGTGCCCAGTTTCTCTGCTGCTTTACTCATACTGTCAATTATATTGTAAATGACTACTGCTATTAAGGCAGTGGGTGGAATTGGAATATAAAAGTATTTACCTGAAAGTCAATTAGTAGGCATCACAACAATAGCATATCCTGAAAGTGTTGATTAATGTGAATGTGCAAAAGCAAATCTAACAACACAAATCTTTTTAAAATGTTGTAATTAGTAGACCTGTCAAAGTTAACGTGATAATAATGAGTTAACACAAATTCCTTTCAATGGCGCAGATTTTTTGACATGTGATTAATGCACCACGTGCATTAATCACATTCTATGATTATGACCCTTGGCCCGTCCCATAGTTAGGCCAATCAGAAAGTGATGCAGCAGCAGAAATGAGAAAAA